AGATATATAAATTGAATTGGGTACACTCTTCTTTATTTTGACGCCTGTAAAGTATTACTTGAAAATACCTAAAGCATTTAAAGTTTCTTAAAAGTTTTCATAAATACTTTCCCTAGCTGATGTTTTTTCAACGCTTTAAAGAAATCATAATTATTCTTTTAAGTTGTGAGTAGTTAGAGTGCTTCTCCTAAGGATAATTCTGCTAGAGAAGAAAGTCATTTAAAGCAGCAAGAAGCAGAGTTCATTTATTTCCTGGAAACTTTGTACCGGTGCAGGCCATCCTGTTCCTGTGGACCCTTTCTAGTTATCATAATTTTATTTATGTGCATGATATTGAATTTACATGAAGTAGAAAGATGAAAATAAGACAAACTTTTGAGTATTAGGAGGAGAAAGCAGCTGAGGTCTAACAAGCAGCAGTTTGCTAATCAGCTGTATGTTTTAGGGGTAGACTGTTCATAGACAGCCTGCCTTTGATGACACTCAGAAGCGACATGAAAGCAGAGTTTGCTCCTGCTCGTGTCTCTAACGCTGCCACTCATTTCCTGTTGGGTTTTCACATGTGGCTTTTAATTCTCACTCGTTTCTAGTGTTTTCTGGACTTATTAGGTTATTCTGTTTTGTTTGTTCATTAACGAAGAATTATAGGAGAAATTTTAACAGTTTTTTTGTATACAATTTTGGGGATACTTTCATTTTGCAGGTAGGATAGATGTGTGGCAATAAATCTATACAATATTCAGGGAGATTTGAAAAGAATTCAAATTTGTATCTTGGTAGAGCTTTCTGAATTCCTTTGGAACTTCAGTGCAGAACAAAAGTTAGTAAATTGTGTTAACTTGTACAGGAAGTATGGAATAGGAATTTGAGGCAAATATTTTCAAGTTCTGACTGGGCAGTCTTTTTTCAATATTTGTTCTACATAGTAGTGAATTTCATAATGACATTTCATACAGTATCTAACATACATTAGCTATTTCTCTATGTTCTAATTTCTTTCCTGTTGCTGTGAACACCACCAAGATCAGCTTGGGGAGGAGAGAGAGTTTGTTTCTACTTAACCTCTGGGTCACTGTCCATGATTTAGGACAGGGCAGGAACTCAGGCAGAAGGCTTTGCTTTCTGGCTTACTTGCGCTCTAGCTTGTGCTGAACTTTTATACAGCCCAGGCCTATCTATTCTGCCTTGGGGGTTGTTCCATCCCAGGTGAGCTGGGCCCTCTCACATCAGTCAAGACAATTTCCTACAGGCCATTCTGAGGTAAGACTTCGGCCAAGGTTCCCTCTTTCAGGTGGCTTAAGGTTGTGTCAAGTTGACAATAAAAACTGAGGTTCTTCTTCCGTTCCCCTTTTCTCCTTCCCACCTCCCATTAGTCCTCTCTATTCCCCGAGGCAGTTTTGCTTCCACTTTCATGTCATATTATACATACATGATTTATATAAAATCCATATAAATCTAGGATCCACAAATGAAGTAAACATGGTGCTGGAACTGGATAAGTAGCTGAGAGAGTACATCTTATTCCAGAGTTGGAGAGAGGGAGACAGAGAGAAGAGAGAGAAAGAGTGAGTGACTGACTGACTAGGTTTGGCATGGGTTTTTAAACCTCAAAACCCACCCTTGGTGACACTCCCCATCAGTGTCAGTCTTTCCCCAAACAGTTGTACCAACTAGGGAACAAACATTTCAATATATGATCTTATAGGGGTCTACTCATTCAAACCACAATGGCTAATTTTAAGTTTTTTCTTGTCTTGTGTTTGCCTTTATTTATTTGTGTGAGTAGGTGGGTAGGCAAGTGTGTGGAGTAAGAGGACAACTTTTGGGAATTTATTCTCTTCCACCATGTTGGCTTCTGATATTAAACCCATGTTAAGACATGGTTGGCAGACACATTTGGTCACTAAGTTGGCTCAGGCCCACTTTCTATTTGAGGATGATAGCTGATTTCCGTTATTGGATTAACTTATATTCACAACAGCAATATATAAGGGTTCCCCTCTCTACATCCATTCTTATCAGTATTTTTTCTTCTTTTCACACTAGGATGGGGTGAAATCTCAGTGTTTTAATTTGGATTAAACACTGATACCTAGTGATTTTTCGTACTTATTGGTCATTTGTGCTTTAATTTTTGAGAGTTCTCTGTTTATATCTTTAGCTCATTTATTGGTTGGGTTCTTTCATTTCTTTCATTAACAATTTGTTTATTTTTATTTTATATGTATAGTTGTTTTGCCTATATAAATATCTGTTTGCACAGGCCAGAAGAGGGTGTTGAATCTCTCAGAACTGGAGTTAGAGATGGCTATGAGCCACCATGTGGGTGCTGGGAATTGAACCTGGGTCTTTTGGATGATGAGCCGGTGCTCTTAATTGCTGAGCCATTTATCTCTCTAGCTCCAGGTTATTTGATTCTTTGTATTTTTTTGAGTTCTTTATATGTTGTAGATATTAATCCTCTGTCATATGTTAGCAATGATTTATTTCCCTTCTGTGAGGTGTGTCTTCATTTGATTCTTTGCAGAAGCTTTGGACTTGAGTTTTGTGCATGGTGATAGATAAGGATCTATTTTCATTCTTCTACAGGTTGACATCCAGTTTTGCCAGAACAATTTGTTGAAGATGCTCTCTTTTTTCCATTGTATACTTTTAGCTCCTTTTTCGAAAATCAGGTGTTCATAGGTTTGTGGGTTGAAGTCAGGGTCTTCTATTCGATTCCATTGGTAGACTTCTCTGTTTTTATGCCAATACCAAGCTGTTTTCAATACTGTAGCTCTGTAATAGAGTTTGAAGTCAGGGATGGTAATGCCTCCAGACGATCCTTTATTGTATAAGATTGTTTTGGCTATCCTGGGTTTTTTGTTTTTCCATATAAAGTTGATTATTGTCTTCTCCAAATCTGTGAAGAATTTTGATGGGATTTTGATGGGGATTGCATTGAATCTATAGATTGCTTTTGGTAGAATTGCCATTTTTACTATGTTGATCCTCCCAATCCAAGAGCAGGGGAGATCCTTCCATTTTCTGGTGACCTCTAACCCCTCAGAAGGGTCTTCAGGAACAGGACCCAGCTCCTCCTTCACCAGGGGCCTCGCCTACCAAAGGGCTAATACTCTGCAGGCCAGCAGCCAAAACAGAGAAACTGCCCTCTGCCCTGAGCTCCTGACCCAGTGCCCTTATAGGTAAACTGGGTGATCCCACAGCCCCACGGAAGGGAGGGGGAGTGAAGGAGGCTCCTGGGCACAAGCTGGGATGGGTCAGGGAGAGAGAGGTTGCTGCAGAGGAGGAGCAGCCCCAGCAGAGGGTACCTGCCCTCGCAGACTAAATGGGGGCTCAAGGGGGTCGGGGAATGCCCCTGCTCCGTTTCCTGTGTCCCGCCGTGGGTCCAGAACACTCTCCCCACTCAGGAGGGTCTTCAGGGGCAGGCCCAGGCTTCCCGTTCACCCGTGGACCTCGTCAATAAACGTTCTACCACTCTGCAGGCCAGGCCCCAAAAAACCTACTTGATTTAGTAGTAGTGGAGCTATCTGCTCTCAGTGTGGGCTTCACTGTTTTGTGCTTGGCCTATCCAGCATCCACCGCCGGAGGTCTCCGCCGCTTGGGGCCTGCGCGCCGGGAGTCTCCGCCGCTGGGCTGTGATATTTTTTATAGTTAAGAGATTTTTAAAAAAGCTTTGAGGGTCGAGCAATACTTTGATTAAATAGGTAATCAAGTATGGCATATGGATGGCAGATTTTTGCATCCACATGGAATAAGGAATGCATGTGATAATGAGACTGCAGTGGTATGTAGTTTGGAGATTGTGTTTCTGGGGAAAGGAATGTAAAGAAGGGTTGGGGTGTTAGAACGTGGTGGAGGGCATGCTTAGAGAGAGTGTGCAAGTCTAATTCTCAGCTTTATCTCCTTTGCCAAGGCTTTCTTCCATTACAGGCTAGCAACAGAGGGAATCTTATTGACCAAACCATTTTGCATCTTCCTTCAATCCACTCACCCATGTTAGAATTTAGTTGTATCGTGATACACCAGTCACAGAAAGCTCAGAATTGGAAGACATAATTTTCTTGTCATTTAGTTATTGCAAATATCTTAACAACTTGAATGGAGAAGGAATATTGTCTGCTGGTCCTTTACTTTATCTTAAAAATTCTCTTTTGCTAACATCTTGTTCTTCTCATTTGACACCAGGCTCTGATGCTGTAATGTGTCTGCTGTTCTTACTTTTCCTCTCTTCCTTGTGCCCTCCCTGTGTTAGTGAGCCACTGTTGAAAAGTTACTATATGGATCTCAAGATTGCTGATCTAGGAGGAACAGAAAGCTAGTGAGAAAGCTATTTATGGAGCGGTATGAATTTGATGGAAGCTGCATTTCCTACCGTTCAGTTAATTGATAATAGGTAATGGTTTTAGTTTCAAAGCAGTGGATGGAAATTAAATGCTAATTTTGTGTGTTGTATGACTGTTTCTCAATCCCTGTCCTGATTTCAAACATAGCAACTGTTTCTGCCATGATGATTCCTTTGGTGCAAATAAAGTGACTATAAACTAAATTAGCAACTCAGGGTAAATAGAATAATTGGCAATAAAGTGGTATTTTTGGCAGTTTCAACAGTTGGTTTCATTGACTGGCTTTTTGACTGTAAACAGCTTTGTTTATTTTAATGCTCAAAAATGATTTTCATGTATGTTCAAAATGATGTTTTTGCAAATGAAATGATGACTTGAATTTTAGGATAGTCTCTGACTAGAGGTCTTCATTTTGTATCTTGAACTGAGTTTTCAATATGGATTGCTAGTAATATCCAAGTACAGAAGAAATGACTTGGCATCTCTGGACTTTAGAGGCAGATAATATTTCTTGGCTAATAAGTAGCAGCCAGGGTGTAAGGGGAAAGATTTGTCTGACTTGAAGAAGACAGAATCTTTAAAACAAAGCCTCAGTAGCCACATTTCATTCATGATATATTTTAATGTCCTTTAATTTTTTCGTTATTCCACCAGGGTGATATACCTTCTGTTGAATACCTCTTGCAAAATGGAAATGACCCAAATGTTAAAGACCATGCTGGATGGACACCATTGGTAGTTTTCTTTTGTGTATCTTTGTGGTGTTGTGGATCTCTGTTTTTTCATTTTTTTATGCTTATGGTTCTAGTTTATGGCTTTGTGGTTGTTCATATATCATGCTCTGCCACCTACACTCTTTAGTTTGAAGAATTTATTGACCAAGTATGAAAAGAAAGTTATTTTTCATCTAGCTGTTTCAGTTGTGACAGGAAAGTAATTGGCTACCTTTTGAGCACTTTTAGATATAGGAGTTCAGTTTCACTGTATTGTTGAGAGTCAGCTTATGTCATGTGTGGCGGTAACTGCTACAGTGGTCACCAGGCTGCATTGCGCAGCACTGCATGCCTCTGGAACCAGATAGAGTTTGGCTTCATGGAACAGAGTAGTTGTAAGGATGGAATGTGATGACCAGGGAGTATTTAAATCTTGCCTCATACTTTGTCCACTTGCAAAATGAGGCAGTAGCAGTAGAAAGCCTTGTCATAAACATTTAAATGTCTGTTCGTTATTGTTACCATCAATTGCAATGTGAAAAAGAGAATGGAAAACATACTTGCAACCAATTTCGGCATTAATGAAGACAGTAAGTGTTGGCCTAGAATGCAACCCAAAGCCTCCACAAGGGAGGTGGGTACCTTTTTCTTGTAAACTAGAATTTCAGCACAGAAATGAGATTCATTAGGCCAGGTACAAAAAAATAGCTTGAAGATAGAATATATAAATATGTAATATTTATATGAGTTAATATATAGTATATATAAGATGACTTCTGGGCAAATTCCTAAGCCAAGAGGGCTTAATCTGGATTCAGTTTGTTGTGTTGCATAGACTGGCCAACATTGTGTAGGAAGGTTAGCTGCTGCAGTCTGGCTTTGCTTCACTCTCCTGCTCTTCCTTTGTTACTAGTTCATCCTTTTTGTCTGTTTAAAAGCCACACATACCCAGTAATGTCCATCAGCAAAGAGAACTTGCCTTTTAAATCATCCTAGATGCCACTTTGCTGGGTGGGTTTGTGTAAATGTTGGTGTACAGTTTGGTTTATGGATCGAAGCACTGAATTCTCCTCAGCCTTGGAGAATTCCAGATCTCTATATGATCTGGTTGTTACACTTTTAAGAATTTTTCCCATTGTTGTAAAATTATTGTAGAAAAATTTCACAGCTCAAGTTGCTTAAAAGTACATTTTGTAGAGAGGAGCATGTGATCTAAACAAAGCTTGATTTTTTTCTCATGGAGTACATAGATTTTTTTATAACTGTGTATTTTACCATGAAAATTATAATTAGTGGTTTTGATGGTCAACAGCTTAAGGTTTGATAGTAGTTATATGAGAATAAGTTTACTGACTGGATGTTCTCATTAATTTTTCTAAAATGTATGTATTAATTTTCTTTTCATACTTCCTCCTTTAAAACATTTTTTTTTTTTGATTAGCATGAAGCCTGCAGTCATGGTCACCTGAAGATAGTGGAATTGCTGCTCCAGCATAATGCTTTGGTGAACACCACAGGTTATCAAAATGACACCCCACTCCACGATGCGGCCAAGAATGGGCACATAGATATAGTCAAGGTGTTATTGTCCTGTGGTGCCTCCAAGAATGCTGTGTAAGTAGTTGCCTACAATCCTCTAAATGGGTTTATGTTCCTAAATGAAGGTATGTACTGAAGCAATAACTACCCGTTGATATTTTGGTCTCTTGTCTTCCACAGCTAAAGTTAGATGTGAGAATCAGCATGCATGTTAGACTCAACACTCATTCTCTCTTCTTCAAAACTCATGCATTTGAAGCAGATTTATTCTCTTCAGTAACACTATCAAATCCGTTTAGAAACCTTGATTTTGTAGACAAATTCCCTTAGTGATTTATATGCTGTAGAATGAATCATACTTAATAAAAATTAGATAATTAATTTTTTTGTGGTACTTAATATTTTAGACTCCTTTTAAATATTCTGTTAGCCCTTTCTGCTTATTAGTTCAACAAAAGTTAAAATTTATAAGAATTCAGATATTGGGCAAGTGCAGTTGAATTATCGCCCAGATTTTTCACATTATTCAAATGAGGCTCTGAGCAAATTGTTTTGCAGTGTCAGGGCACAGAGGAGCATTAGCGAATGCTGGCGGCTGCATCTTAAAACTGCTATTGTCAAGAGTATTGCAAGCAAATGCCGTATGCAGATTTTTATATCTTTAATCTGTAACTTGGCTCCTGTCTCCCTATATGTTATTTTACTCTTCAGTTAATGAGTTGGTTGAAATGAAAATGCAAGAATTGTTCCTCTGTGCTCTCACTGCTTTTGTGTGCTTCCAGCAGAAGCCTCACCCTTAGTATAGAAAAGTATGTAAGAACCACAACATGCAGATTCTCTGACTTGTAATCTTTAGTAGGTAGCCACTTAACACAACTGAAAAACAAGTTACTAATGAAGAAAATAACATACCCTTGTGCTTCTAGCTTCAGTGTGTCAGCCCTTCTTTACTTCCCATTACAAGTTTTAAGGCATCTGGGTCAAATTCTGGGAGAAATGTGTGTGTGCATGCATGGTTTTGTTTTTCTGTCTTTCTGTGTGTTTTTGTATATAAGGATCTCATAGAGCTAATATATAATTATGTGAAGACTTTATAGCTATGATCCTCCTGTAGGTGTAGTAAGCCATTTGATGAGGCAAATGGCTGCTTGGGTCAGGTGAAACTGAGTAGTTTCCATCCTAGGGTTCTTAAATCAGCCGTGACTACTTAAATGAATGGAGCACTGGTCATGGTGTTAGGAAATCCAGCTTTTATTTGTGACTCTATTATTGACTTTATAGCTGCAGGCAGGTTAATTTTTGTGCTTTGGTGTCCTCACCTATAAAACATGGGTGCTGCCTGCTGCTTTTCTATTTCTTCAGATCATAGTGAGGATTAATGAGCCAAAACACAGAGACTGTCTTGTGGTTTGTACGCCATGATTCTTCACTGTGCTGTGAGGAGTCACTAAGGTACAAGGAGTGGGAACAAGGCAGGAGATGAGTCTGCCTTCACAGTTGCTTTCTCAGATCAGGGGCCATTTTGTAGTAAGTGGCCTGAGCTGGCAAAGTGACACAATTACATATAGTTAAGCACTCTCTGGTAGGCCTTTTGCATTAAAGGAAGTGTTTATGTCAATGTCTGGAATTCATGAGCCGGTAGCCATCTATAGCTACTCCATACTTGGAAACTACTACTTGGAAACAGAATCCTTAAAGGTGCTTACTTTTTACTGTTTTAAATGTTCATATGTGTCCAGTGACTCCTGTCTTAGGATGATTCGGGAGGTGAATGTATTTGACAACAAGTTCAGATGGTTTTTGGCTAGAGGATAATAGTGGAGATTTATCCATTGAATTAATTCATACTGTCTGGCACCTTAGAACTGTGTGGAGTTTGTTGTGAGGAAGACATGCTATCCCTCCTTTCCAAATGTGGAACCAGTGCTTGATCTGCCTTTAAGAACTTTTCCTTTGGTGGACATTGCATTCTCAAGTAGAAAAGTATTATATGGACCAATGGACCTATTAATTGCTTTCCTGCCCTAGTAAATTTTCAAAGGAATGGATCCTCTACAGCAAAGAACTGTTTTATAACATTCAAAACCATGTTGCTCTTTTGAAAGATGGTCTTTGTGATTGCAATTTTATGTTGTTCATAAAGGATCCCATTCATCGACTCTCTTGACATTGTCATGCCCTGTAGGTTTAGTTTAGTAAAAATACCTAGCCTATGTTTTTGCATGTTGAGAAATCTTTTTGTTTGTTCATCTTTCCTTATTTTTTTTTTTCCTATTGCTGCAGCTGATTCAGGACTCAGCTGTAGGTAGATGTCTACCATGTCACTCCTGTATGGGAAAGGACGTTAAAAGATCGTATTGTTGTCTGAGCAGTGCCTTTTGGTTATAGTTGAGGCATTAAACACCTCAGCTTAACCCTTCAGTAAGTGAAGCTCATCTCTGTAATCAGTCTTGATAAGGAAGAATCCTAGCTAAGAAAGGATTTCAGTCCCTGTCTCATATTCTTTTATGTTTAGATGGTACCATATAAAAAAATGAATATTTTTTTCTTATTTTCATCAAAAAGCATGCTTTGATATATTTTTTCTTATTAATTATGCAAACTACTAATATAAAAGCTGCATGAAATGTATCATCAAATGGAGGAAACTATGATTAGCACTCCAGGCATAACCTACCATGTTTTCTCGTGTTGATTCTATATCTGTCTCCCAGCAGTGCAAACCCAGCAGTATTAGTGGTACTGAGTTGGTAACTATCTGCTAGGCACCGTCTTAAGAACTTTTGATCTGTTAATTTGGCCTTCCTAATAGTATTAGGAAACAGGTTCTACCAACCCCATTTTCCAGGTGGAAAACAGGCACTAGAGGTTGAAGTAGTTTGTGTATGGCAATACAGTGATTCTAGATCTGAAACTTGAATTTGGGCAGTGTTCCTGTATAATCTGGCTCCTAGCTATCATGTACTCCCATCCATTCCTCCTGCTCACACCTGTTTAGAGAAGTGCTCAGGAGAAGCATCCACCACTTAACACTATCCCTCTTTCTTTCATGATTGGGCCATAGCTGCTGCTTCTCAAACTCCTTATTCCTGTGAAACACATGTGTGTTCCACCTTTCCCCCTTCTTCATCTGATTTGTCCCTCCTTTCCTCATTTTCAGTGCCTAAAACAGGGAAAAACCACCTGTTGAATAAACATTTTTTCAAACTGATTACATAGCAATGGTTATCACCTCCTCTGTGTGCATGCACATACTCTTTGTGTGTAAATTACATAAATATCACATAGACATATATGTGCTATATGTTTTCATACAGTCAGTGTGTTTCAGTAGTACTGATTTTTCAGGGTTTTTGTTTGCTTATTTATTAGCTATTAGGTAGCAAAACATAGTTACTTAGAAATACTCAGATCTTCTGAGAAGGTTTGAAAATGTATAAGAGCACTGACTGCTCTTCCAGAGGTCCTGAGTTCATTTCCCAGCAACCCACATGGTGGTTCACAGCCATCTATAATGAGATCTGGCGCCCTCTTCTGGCCTGCAGGCATAGTGGAGGCTGAACACTGTGTACATAATAAATAAATAAATCTTTAAAAATAAAGAAAGAAAATGTAAAAATCCTTATCTTTGTCTTTAAAATTTTTTAGATAAGCTGGGCACTGGTGGCCCAAGCCCATTTAATCCCAGCACTCAGGAGGCAGAGGCAGACGAATCTCTGTGAGTTCGAGGTCAGCCTGGTCTACAAGAGTTAGTTCTGGGACAGGCTCCAGAGCTACAGAGAAACCTTGTCTCAAAAAACCAAAATTAAAAAAAAAAAAAAAAGAAAAGAAAAAGAAGAAGAAATGTATTTTCTAGGATTTATGATTTAAATCCCAGAGAGAGCCAGGCATGGTGGCTCACACCTTTAATCCTATCTCTTGGGAAGTAGTAGAAGGCAGACCTCTGTGAGTTCTAGGCCAGCCAAGGCTACATGGTGAGACTTTGTCTCATAAAACAAAAACAACAACAACAATCTGAACAAATGAAAGTACAGGAAAAGGGCAATAGCACTCGGGAAAGGCATTTGCCTCTAGTCCTGGTTGGTATGAGATCCATCCCTAGGGCCTAGGTATGGGAAGGAAAGGCCAACTCCTGTCAGTTTTCCTCTGGTCTCTCTCTCTGTCTCTGTCTCTGTCTCTCTCTCTCTCTCTCTCTCTCTCTCTCTCTCTCTCTCGTGCGCGCGCGCACACACACACACACACACACACACAAATAAATAAATGAATCTAATAAAAAAACTCTTAAAGTAAAATCACAGGGCAGTCAGTAGAGGAAGGCATATACTGGAGGAAGAGAAATAGTAAAACCAGCTAATGTACTATGCTATAAATCAATAGAGAAAATTAATAAAAAGATAGGATTTTTGTCAATGATTGTATGATAAGCTTCAGTAACCAGGAAAACTGCATTTTTAGAAGAATTTCTAATGCATGAACAGTATTAACTATATGTAATCCTTTGGAGTTCACTGAATTTTAAGAGATTTTCTTTGGATAAGGTATTAAAGGAATGGTTAGAAGTGATACATATGGAAATTGTTAGTATATTGTCAGGAATTATGCTTAATTGTATAAACTTGTATGCTCACAAGTACCTTGATTTGTTGCTGTTGCACTAACCCAGACATACTTTCCATTTTCACAGTTGTAGTGTCTCCTTCTCTCTAGTGTTCATTGCCTCTGTCTGCTAATTGTATCGGTTTCTTCACTTGTATTCACCCATCACATATACTCATACAATGAGAAGAGTTCAGCTCCCTAGATGGAGAAGGTTCTTTTCCAGCTGGTACATACTTTTTAGCAGCCATATTGCTTATTTCCTCCTCAGTCTCTACAACATTCATGTACCACATGACAATAACCAGTCTTGACCCAAGGCCATTTCATTTGCCAATGTATGTTCCTTACCTACATTTCACCCCATTACTTTGCTTTGGTATATACTTGGTCAGTTTCATATTTGTTTGTTGGGTTAGTATTTGCTTTCAGTGGTTTGCGGAGAAGGAAAAGGTGTGTACACCCTATTCTTCTAGATAGTGATGTGAGTTAAGGCTTATGCTTCATACCAGAAAATAGAGAACGTTGCGTTTATATTAGAAAAGAATCATTGAGCAATAGCCTTGACCTTTTCAGTAAAATAATAAATTATATCTATTTTGAGTTAATATGTTACAATCTTAAAAAGACTTTCTTACGATGATGGAGAATAATTAATTTACCACTCTTCCAATTAGTAGTCACAATGTCAGTGACTGACGTATTCAATAGTGTCTTACATTATTGAGATATCTTTTTTACATAAAGGGAATAAATAATGTGATAAAATTAACTAATTAAAATAAATCAAATTTTCTCACTATACATGTAAACTGTGTTAACCCATTCAAATCTGGAAAGAACACATTTTGTATGTGTCCACATAAGAGTAGAATATACCTTATCTTTCCTTGCTGTGGTTAAGTTTCTACTTGTAAACCTGAATTTGTTTCCGTATTTCTGTAGTTGAGAAGAAAACAAAATTATGACAGAGTGCCATAGGCCACATTTTCCATGAAGCGCAGGACCTTTCCAGAACCTGTGGTATCTGTAACTTATAATTCTGTAATTTACATATAATAAAATTCTGCTAGTCAGCTTGTGAAGAAACTCTTCAGAATACAAGAGTATTTGATTGCTCCAGACTACGTGTTTATGTAGAAGTCTGCCTTAGTAGCACTATGGCTGTGCATGTTATGAAGCACTTTCATTTAGCCATTTTTCATGTTGTCATCAGGGATTTTTACTTCAGCTCATATAAATAGCTATGCAGATGTCATCAGTTAGTGTGTATTAAGTTCATTTGACTAAGGTTTTTTCTTATATATATTAATAAAAACATATATACTATGGCTTTGTTTATCCATTTTTGCAGTTGGTTTAAGAATTAGAATCTTGATTCTTCAAATCAGGCTTCTATTTTGTGGCTGTCATAGCATCTGCACATGAGGAGGCAGTGTGGTGGTGTGTGCATAAGAGAGCATGAGGTTGGGACGTCTCTAGGAGAGTGCATGAGATCCTGTTGACGCGCTCTGACAGTACTCGCTCCAGCTGTAAGCAGTGGCTTGTGTCACAGTGTTGTAAATCAGGAACCCAAATGCACTTGTCTTTTACATTGGCTGGAGAAGGAATATTGCCAGGAAAGGCCCATGGTGTGGACCTGGACATAAAGGGGAACCTGAGAATGCAGCCTTAAGACTGTTTACTCAGAATTGCTGAAAGAAGACGGAGCAACTGAGCCTGGTGGTCATGAAGAGCTGTCATGAGAGAATTGCTCTGACTTATTTCTTATCTTAATCCACTAGCTCTCTTTTCCCAAGATGCCATTGTAACAGCCTTCCCTAAGGTCACTGGCTCAGAGAGGCTTAGTCCTTATATGTGTGACTTCTGTGACTCATCCAAAGCTGACACTTTTCTTCTTCTTCCCTTAATGGTTCATTCTTGCCCCTTTAAGACATTCTCTACGCACTCAATTACATTTATAAAATTGTTATAGTACCTTATTAATATTTTTGTTTCCCATTTAACACACTCTATTTTCACATTTGCTTTCAATGCTTGGAATCAAGTCTAGAGTGTTGTGCATGTTTTACAAGCACTGAACCACTGAACTTTATACCCAGCCCTCTTCAGCTTTAATTGAATATATACATGCAATATCCTTAAAACCCTTAAGAGATTAGAAATGATAACTTGATTTTGAAAGCTCAATATTACAGTATGGTATATTAAAATATATTCTAAAATATTCTTGAATTGTAAAGAAGAGGAATGGTTGACCAAATGTTGTAGCTTTAACAAATTATTTACAATGGACTTGTTGAGCATGCTATTGAATGTAACTGAGATACAGGGCAAATGTGACCTAAATAGATCATCGAAACCCTGTTGCTCTGTTTTATTATAGTCTATGAAATGATGGGGTTCTACTTTGAGACCTCGTCTAGTATTTCATGCTGTGATTTATAAAGATGCATGCATTCAGAAGTTTGTATCAGGCTGTTCTCTGAACCACACTAGTTTGCAGTTAAACAAAAAGGGATAAAAAGTACCCCCCAAATAGATTACATGATGCTTTATTAAACTTAAATTTTCTTAATGCAAATAAAAAATAATGGCAAGAGAGAGACATTAAATAATAAAAAAATTTCTAGATTAAATTAGCCTGTGTATTTCAAGGATATGTTGACCTCAAAATAGGAAACAGGAGATGTGCTACGTTGCTCTTGTTTCCACAGGAGAAAAAAGCTATGGATCAAATTACTAAAGATTCAATTAAAAAAAAAAACTCTTCAAAAAGAGAAATGACAGCTTATCCACAGAGGTGATAATCATACAGGTGGTAATTAAAACCTCTTAAGGATTGGGGCAGGGTTCTGCTCTTGTCTTTACAAAAAATACTCATCTTCAAAAAGTCAAAAGAGACCTTGGATGTTTGGATATCTTAAAAAAATGGCTTATGAGGACAGGTCATCTACAGGGTAAAATTTCATTCTCTCTACATATATATTTATATCTACTACCCAGTGTAGTGTGCAGACGGGGGCGGGGGAGGGGTGTCTCTGGTAGAGAATCGTTCTGTGGGTTGGCAGCATCATAGAAGAATGGAAGTGGGCTAGAAGGAAAGGGGTAAAAGGGGCTGAGGGGAAGAACTAGGGAAATGTTGGGTCCTCTGCAGGAGGCTGAGTCTCTAGAGAGTGGAGGTGGAGCTGGCTTCCTTCTTTGCTTCTTCACTGAGTTCCATATCTTTTGATACTAGATCTTCATGACTGTTTCTTTAGTTACAATTGTGTATTAAGGGTGTTGACAAGTAGTTCTAGAAGTGCATCCGTTAAGAATGAAGTTATGTATTTTATTTACTTAAACACATCTGACTTGTTTTACCAGTAACATATTTGGTGAACGGCCCGTGGATTATACAGACGATGAAAATATAAAATCATTATTGCTGCCACCAGAGAAGAATGAATCATTCTCTACTAGCCAGTGCTCAGTCGTAAGTATGGATTTAGATTTGGGACATTTATTTTTTTATTGAACTTGGTTGTGAAAGGAGCATAATAGAAAAACTTCCAGTTAGCAGGTATCTTTCACTCACCAATTATTGAGTACTTCTGGAGTACTGACTATTATGGATTCAAAGACACAATCAGAGTACATCTACGAAGAAATGTGTAGTTTTTGCAGCATTCATACAACAATGAATTTGACTAAAGCAACTCTTATTTCAAGGAATTTGCTTGCCAGTAAGAGGTAGAGAAAAAATGGTCTGTGAATATGTAAATTGTTAAATGCAATCATTTCAGAAGTGGGTACACAAATGCTTCCAGAGTGATTTTGTATTGCGTAGCTGGGTGGAGGTGATAGACTCCTGAACGACACTGCATCAGTGAGGGCTTTTTAAGAACCAATTTGAACTAAAACTTGAATTATGACGGAGAGGCAGCCAGGTGACCACATAAAGGACATTGTATAGAGACCCTCAAATAGACAAAATGGGCACATTTGGAGATTGCAGAGTTAGTAATTGCTGGAGACAGAGTTTGAGAATAGAAACAGGAGAAACTGGAGTGAATTTTGTCCTGAACACTTGCTCTTTTGATTTACAAAAGGAAATCACTCCTTTTTGAGCAGTGTGTGCAAGAGTGAACGAAATATCACCTAGGATTGTGGCAAGCAATTGCCAGCGTGACATGAACAGCCTTGAAAGTCTGTAAGAAGGAAAGTAGTGAAGTTCAGTGTATGTTTATCCCAGCATTACTTTTCACTGGGTTTCTATAATGAGTGGGGAATGAGTAGAATTAATGTCACTGGAGGCATAGACTAGTTGGTGCCATTTGCTGGTATTGGAAAGGGAATCCTTCATCCTCTGCCAATTTTGCATCTATTGTTGGAACTGTTAAGTAATAGTTGGCTATATGAGCCTGTGAATTAGATAAAAGGTATAAGCACATAGTGGAAAAAAAGACCTATTCCTTGGGAATCCAAAGCCAAAAGGAAGATATAAATGCAAAAAATCTTGGTATAAATTGTATTACATGATAAAAGCAATGAAATGTGCAAAAGCTATAACATGTACTGTGGACTCGAGGAGCCTCACTTCAGGAGCTGTCAGCAAGAACTTCAGAAGGTGATAGAGTGTCGGAGGGAAAGTGAGCTGATGGGTCCTGTTGTGGAAGTGACAGAAAATTCCTAATCAGAAACACTTGACTGTTATAAAGACCATCCTATTGGCAGCTGTAGTTGCACTGAGAACCCATGCTTTTGACATTACTTGCCATCCTTGATTTAGTGGCTCTGGTGTTACTTGTGTGTCCTTGTTCCTGTTGAATGGTTGCTGCAATTCTAGTTGTGATAGTGGCTATCTTGAAGGAGTCTTGTAGCCTTCACTGAGGTCTTCCTTGTGTTTTATTGGTTAGAACTGACTGCATACTGTTTGACATACCGAGGCATAGAGATGAAGCAGATCTTGTAGTGGGCTACCTGCACAAAATCTGCCTTTTTTTTAGTGTAGAAAATGGGAAGAATGTGTTCTGCTTGGAAAGCCAGCACAGCTTCTCAGAGGAAGGTGTAAAATGCCCTCAGAAATGTAAAGAACTATTGGGGTTAGTGTGCAAGAAGGAATGCTAAAGTAGTTTTAGGGTGAAACGCTAGATTGGGATCAGCCTATGAAAGGCCTTAACCTTCCTTAATAGGTACTGCAGATTTAGTGCGGCATTTTCAGTATGGAACAAGATGGTCTGCAGGATAGCATGGAGTCAGAAGAAATGCAGGTTGAGTGGAGGCTGCTGTAATAAAGTCCAGGATTAACAGGGTCTGAAATTATGGATGATGGTATTGAGATGAGGAGAGGAGAGAGACACGGGAGGGAGCTCACTGTATTTTCATATTTGTTCAGATGATGAGGGATTTGCAACAACACTGACCAAACTTTCTTATTGTCTTAATCATTGATATGTGGCTAAGGAAACTCATGGATGATAAATCCGTGTGAGTCGGGGCGGTAGGTTCTGTGCATTCATTAAGAGGTAGTTTACATCTGGGATGTCACCTCTAACCATTACCACACTCCTCTCTCAGCCCAGGCTGCTTTGCTGGCTCTTGTCAGGCTGCCATGATACAATGACTGTTTTTGCAGAGCCCTGTTGTCCAGAAAGAGCAGTGCAGTAGTGACTGAGGCCACTGCTTAGTGACAGCCTTCGCCTGAGGTCATTAGCATTTGGTGTGGTCATAGGTGCTATCCCTGAGAACATTTGTCTTTTGTTTTAGATTGCAGTCTGATAAATGTGTTCCAAATGATAGTTTGGGAAATGAAAAGGACCTCTTTAATTTCTTTCTTTTAAAAATGGAAAAACTGAAAGGTCGTGATTTGCCCAGGATCATTAACCAGACATTAAAACATTTTTTAATGGACCAGTTAGACCTCAGATTTCTTAAGTCTTAGGTCAGCCCTCATTCAGTTCCACCATACTTTACAAATTAGTACTTATTTTACTCATTTATACCAGAACTCCCTGCCAGAGCATAATATATTTAAGCTGTCATCATAGATTATTTTAAATGTGTCAGAAATACAGATACCTTTATGGTATTCTTTAAGTCTGATTATGGTAATTACTTTCAGAAAGGGATTTTTATTTTGAAATTTAAGAAACACACACTTTCTGTATTCCATTGGCATTGACTTTATGTCTTTTTGTTTTTTGAGATAGGCCTTCATTATGTAGCCCATGATAGCCTGAAACTTGCAACCTACCTGCTTCTGCCTCAAAGGGTAAGATGTGTACAACACCATGGCCAATCTTCTTTATTCTTGGTGACTGATATGTGGCTAGAATGCTAGTAGATGATAAACAGGTCTGTGTAAGTGGAGATGGAGAGTATGTGCAGTTGTTAAGAGCTAAGGTCTAGGATGTGATGCCCCTAGCTGCCACCAGACTCCACTTGTTCAACCTGGCTGTCTTGCTGGGTCTGTAGTTGATCAAATATATTCCCTTTCAGATCCTAAGCTTTAGCTATTTTCTCTGCCAAAAACAGGTTTGAGGAGCCAGGGTTCCTCCCTCCTACTTACTTACACCGTTCAGACACAATTGTACCTGTCAGCTACTTATTTATTCTGCTAGGAGCTGAACCTATAACCTTATATTTGCTGGGTAAGCAGTCCACCCTTGAGCTACATCGCTGGTTTTGGACCATTTATTAAAAATAGCAATCCCTCAGTGCTGCTCACCTCATTCACCCCCTTGACCCCATTTAGCATACAGTTGAGAAATAGCATTATACTCTTCCTGTACTTTATTTTTCCCTTCCCTATTAGAATATAAGCTGTATGAGGGCTGGACTGGTTCACTGCAACAGGTCTTTTGCATGGAGAACAGTGTGGCAAGTACCAAGTGCTTGGTTGCATGTGTGTTGACGGTGAGCAAGCTTTTAAGCCTGAAAGTGGCAGGTGCATTGAACACTGGTCTCAACATGATACACTTGCCTGATAGTAGAGTCTAGAATGTTTGTATTGCAAGCTGTACTGATGAGCTCCTTCAGGGGATGTGCAGATGGGTAGAGGTGATAAGTTGATGCGGTTTAATCCATCTGTGTCTCATCCAGAATTGTGTTTCAAGTAATCTTGGTGGCCCTTCTTTGAGGTTCAGAAGCAACCTTTGGTCTTAACCAAAAGCATCCTTCCATGTTCGTTTAGGGACTTTTCTGCCCTTGACTCCTTATAGCAGCATGCTTACCCTTTCTAGTCATTTCCTGATTCTTTAAAAGATTTGATTGTATTTGCTTATGTTAATTTGTGAGTGTGCGTGCGCCTAGATATGCACATATAGAGGCAACAGGAATCATTCTCCCCTTCTGCCATTTGGGTCCTGGGGGTCAAATTCAAGTTGTCAGGTCTGACTGCAAGCTCCTCCTTCCTCAGAGCCATCTCTTTAAGCCCCCCTTAGATGCTTGATAAATTTATTAACAATTTTGATAACAATTTTATCTAAGAAAAATACCATGTTGAATTTAGCTTGCTGAACTTAAATTGCCAAGCACTGTCATTTCAAAGACTTACTGTGATATTTTTGTATACCTACTTACTATATAGTAGATCTCATTTATTGTGAATGAATTGAGTTCAACTGTTTATAAATTTCACCAACAACTTAGCTGTCATATGTAGGGAGTCTGAATGACCTATCACTGTTCTGGTATGTGAAGCTAATGTTTAAATACTAGCCTCCTCTCACCTAGTTGCTGAACTGCGATGGTGTAACGGCGTAAACAAATGCAGACAGATTGTAAAAATATATATATCTATAGCTTTAATGTAGAAATAGACTTACAGAACCACCGTTCCTGAGGAGACCAGGAAAGCAGAAGCGATGTCGCTAGCCAAATTTATAGGCAGACATTAGCCCGAGGCGAACACTCCCCCCAAGGGGCGGGACTTATCCCTACACGACGGTCCCTGTGCCTCTGTTGTTTCCTTCAAATGTTGCAGAGCCCTTGAAAGCCCAGGTGTCCAATGCACATTTGTACTCAGCGTCTTGTGTTGTGTGTGGTGTCTTTTCCTTAGTGCAGTAGTGCTGGTTATGCATTTTTCTCTCTAGATCATTCCTTCTCCTTCCTAGGTAATTCCAGTTCTGTTTTTTCCATCTTTTGCATGCTCCACCATGTCATTGTTCCTCTGCATCGTCTCTTCTCATCCCACATGCTGTTCACTGGTGCTGTTTGTCTCCTGTAAGTGCTGAGTGTAAATTAGATATTAAGCTGAAATCATTAGTCTCTGTAAGTCAGCCTTTCCTCCTTGTGGGCATGAGCAACTCCCTCCTGTTTGTCCACCTACTTTCTTCACCCATCAGTTCACTTGCCTATGTTCATCTTTTTGTTTCAGTATCAAGAATTCATTTTCTTCAGAATTAGAATTTTCAAAATAATCTTAGCTTAAACTGAATAGAGCAGGTTTGTGTTTGACTCTTTGAAGAGGGTATGAAATCGGTCCTTTTTAAATGGCTGTTTTAGGTTATTGGGGACAGAATGAAATTATGAAGCGCTACAGGAATCCAGTTCAGCATCAGGAAAGGAAGCTTGCCTGCATGGAGAGAGCTATTCCAACTGACACTGATGGGAGGAAAATAATTAGGAAATAGTCATTCAAATGGATTGAGTATTAGAATTATGGGTATTGATTCAGTAGGAACTACTGGGGATTATTAGCTGGAGTAAGGCAATTCGTAAAATAAATCCCCTGCCTGATGGCTTGTGCCTTCTCTCTGTCTTCCTTACATGTTTTTACCATGGTGCCTCTCCATTTTTCACTACCAGGTGACTGCTGGACAGCGAAGGAATGGGCCATTGGTGCTGATAGGCAGTGGACTTTCTTCACAGCAGCAGAAAATGCTCAGCAAACTCGAGACAGTTCTTAAGGCTAAAAAATGTGCTGAGTTTGACAGTACAGGTGAGGTGTTTGATTTCTTTCTAAATAATTTTAAAAGTTAGTCCCTTTAAAGAGTGAACTTCAGTAATTTATGTTTTAAGAATTGGCTTATGGTTGGTTATATATTTTGCGTCTTGTAATCTAGGCTATTTCTATTAATATCCCAGGAAATGTAAAGTGTGTTTTACTTGTTTTGGGGGATTTGGAGCTGTTCACATTGCTAGTAGGCAAGTGCATTACCACTCACCTACATCCTTAACAGGAGCTGTAAAGTTAAGCTTTACACTTATTTTAGGGTAGAGTACTGTTAAGAACAGATTTGAGTTTGTTACTAAAGTATAACACAGTGTGATATCACAAATCATTTGAAAATAGTTTAAAAACTTGTATTTGTTAATATACTTTTACGATCTATTTTTCATGTTGATGGCCAAGTTAAAAAAATGGAATAAAAGAAACATTATATTCAATATAAATTTCCTTTGGTGAAAACTTATGTGTTAGTTAATAAAATAGACTTAACTGCTTATAAAAAACCAGGAAGTTATTTTGGTTTTTCCTTACTGCTTTTTTTAGTAACTCATGTCATTGTTCCTGATGACGAAGCTCAAAGTACTTTGAAGTGTATGCTTGGGATTCTCAATGGATGCTGGATTCTGACGTTTGAATGTAAGTACTGGATTTGGGAGGATTACTAGACTAGTTAGATACTCACTGCTTTGAAAAGGATTCATGTATTATTGGTGCCCTGCAGATGTTTTTAATAAATGTACATAAATATGCTCTGATTTTAATGTAGTTTTATTCTGCAATACCAAGTATATTAATAAAGAATTAATGTAGTTTCTTGTTAGATTTGAAGTCTAAATAGTCGATATTAATGTTAAATGGTGTATTTGACAAAATATACTCAAGTTTTAATCCATTTAATGGTGTATCTATGAAGTGAAATTAATTTATTGCTTTCCATTTAAAATGTCTACAGTATTAACCTTTTAGTCTCATGGCTGACTCAGTCCTATTAGGCAGCTGTTGGGGGAATTTACCATTTCATTCTACATGATCTGATTAGAGCAGCCATTACGTCAGCCCCCACTGAAACTTTCTCTGTTTCTCTCGTTGGCAGTCATAGGCCATCACCCTCAGAACTACCTTCTATTTCCCCTACTGTGCTATATGCTGCTTTTCATACTCCCCCCCCCCCCCCCCCGCACCCACCTTTTTCCTCCAGAACCTTACATATCTCCTCCCTCTTCCTAGTTAGTTTCTTTTCCTTGGTACTTGAAGTATCTGCTTTTTGGTAGGATAGGCTAAAATATGATGGCAGATGCACCAGCTGTCGTTAAGTACTTCTTGAGAAAGCTAAGTGGCTGCAAAGGACTGACAGGGAAGTCTTATGATAGATCATTGAGAACCTTGATGTTGCTTATGCTCAAGAATGATGGAGGGCCCAAATTTCTCAGGCTTGCCACACACATCTGCACATGGAGTTGCTTTGTATTGTGATTTGTTAATCTTCCAGAGTTCACTGCTAACACTGGATACTGCAGTCTCCTATAATGACAATTATATCAAAACAGAAGATTGAGTATATTAGTTTTAAGAAGAACATTGTATATTAAAATTCATTAAAAATATTGGCTTTGTGCTTTGAAGGCCTTGTAGTAGAGTGATGATCAAGATCTTAAGTTTGAAGGCCATTTGATTTGAAGAGCAGTTTGGTATTACCTGTCAGTACTCGTGTCCTCCTAATCGGCTTCCACTTGCTCCCTGTGGTACTAGTCAGCTCTCTTGGGTATGATTGCAGTGTGAGAAACCATGTTATCTTTTCTCCTCATTCTCTGTTAATAGTTGCTCCTGGTCAAAACCAGCTTGAGAAGCATGATAATTGATTGGCAATATGATTAGCGTTATGCCTGTGCTTGAACTTTGTTTGTTTGTTTGTTTTGTCTTTCCTGTCTATAGTAAGTCTCTTTGAGTTTCAGTATATAAAAACTTCAAGTGCCTCTAATGTTATGACTTTCTTTGTACCACACCTGGGCCAGAACCATTGCCAGTGGTTAGAATTAGTCGATTTATTTTAATATCAAGATCCTTATTAATAAAGAAGCCATGTGGGATTTTGAATAATCTGATGCTTTTGAACTTTAAGTCTATTTAACAATTTGCTGAACTGGCATTTGGTTACATGTACAGGCTATGATGCATTTCCATAAAACCTATCTTCTGTAGGAAATGTGAATTTTGTCACTCTAATTATTTTTATAGAATCACTGATGAACTCAAGCTGACTTAATTGTGTGATATCTGGTGATTCTTACAGCAGTGACTGTATCCTCTAATGCAGATGATTCTTTTAGGATAAAGAATGGATAGGCTTTCTTGTTAAAGTTGATGTAGAGCCCATGAAGAAGTAAGTTCAAAATTTAAGACAAGTACTTAAATTGTCGCTAGGTCACTGGGCTTGTAAAAGTAAGTCATATACTCCCAAAGTGTTTCTTTCCTGACAGAGGTTCCCCAGTCTGTTTTTTGGTATCAGGCACCTCAATTTCAATTTATTGAAAAATATTTCAGAGCAATTCAGAACTATCTGAAAATCATATATATTAGAGAAAAATGAAGGGGATTACTGCTTTCAAAAGCATGCGTGACTTACTAAAACTTTCTTGAGTAGGATTCTAAGCTTTAGTTTGTTAGTAGACAAAATTAATTGGAATAACTACTTATAAACTTAATAATATTAACCTTTTATAGTGTTTTCCATAACAAATGAATTGAAGAAGGATTTTCATCATGTATGTCCTGTACTTGTGTGTGAAGACTGGAGGTTGATGGCAGATGTCCTAGGCTCCCACCTTTGTTTTTGAGACAGAAACTCAGAGATTAGCTGGACAAGCTCACCGCCGTCTGGAGATCTGCCTGTCTCGCAGACTGTTTCCCACTTCACTGTGCTAGGGTTACTCTAGACCAGTTATTCTCAACTTTCCTAATGCTTTTTGTATAGTTCCTCATGTTGTGGTGACCCCAACTATAAAACTGTTTTTGCTGCTACTTCATAACTTTAATTTTGCTATTGTTTTGAGATATAAATATCTGATATGCAGGATGGTCTTAGGGGAACCCTGTGAAAGAGTCCTTCAATACTCAAAGGGATCATGGCCCACAGGTTGAGAACCGCTGCTCTAGACTTGCATCTGAACTGAATAAAGAAGAGCAAGGCGGATACTCTTTGGTGGTGTTTTCTGATTGGTTAGTTGATTTGAGTGATTTGACTCTAAAAAGACTGATACCAAGAGTTCCTTTTTAAAGTAGACTTCTGTAGTTTTAAAGATTAATGTAATTTTTGTTTTGCTCAGTAAACTTTTGGACATTTAGACAATTTGTTCTTTAAATAGACAGTATTGGTATTAGTGTCAGTACTGCTTCCCAAGTTTTGTTTACAATGTTTTGATGGTACACTAATGCATTTTGTGAAGGGATTGGTTTGCTTTTTTTGTATGCATTAAATAAAATAAATTTGACATTTTGTCTCAAGAAGTATATGTTTTTTATAAGTGTACTTATAACTAGAATATTAACTTGAAGTATAGGATAAAAGTAAATGATTACTAAGTATGACAAAATCTGCTGTCCTATGACAGTATTTTCAGTAATACTTCCTCCTGGATGTTTATGATAGCACATGTGCAGGTTAGTTTTTTGTGACTTGACACAGATAGGGTCATCTCGGAAGGGGGAGTCTTGGTTGAGAAAATACCTTCACCAGATTAGCCTTTGGGCATTTCTTCATTATTGATTAATGAAACATTAATGATAGTGGAAGGGCCCAGCTCACTGTCAGTGGTGTCACCTTTGGTAGGTGGCCTGGGCCATATAAGAAAGGTAGCTAAAGCCGGGTGGTAGTGGCACACACCTTTAATCCCAACACTCAGGAGACAGAAGTAGGCGGGTCTCTGTTAGCTTGAGGTCAGCCTGGTCTACAAGAGCAAACTCCAGGACAGGTTCCAAAGCTACAGAGAAACCATGTCTCAAAAAAATAAAAATAAAACAAACAAACAAACAATAAAAAGGTAGCTGAATAAGCTAGGGAGAGTAAGCCAGGAAGCATTCCTCCATTGTTATGCTTCAGTTCCTGCCTTCAAATACTGGTAGTGTGTCCCCCATGTGTTCCCTCAGTGACAGGATGTGATCAGGACATTTAGACTGTATGTTACACAGTCAGCCCTCATTTCATCATCGCCTCACTCATGTCACAGTGAGCTTATTTATTTCTCTGTTGTGTAGCTGCCACCTGACCCTTGAGAGAGTGTGGTGACAGTGTATTTTATTTTCTATTTTGTCTTTGTGTAGAAAGTGTGAAATTTTTTTGATTGTAGTGCAGCCATAGTCTATTTGACTAAAAATTCTAATATAAATCCATTTTCTAAAGGAGATTCCTTTGGTTTTTACAGCCTGAGTGTCAATTTTCAACTGGATCAGACAGGAACTCCATAGGTGTTTATTTATTGTCATTCTGAGTGACATAAATTCCTAGTTTAGTTCTATCTGTTCAGACTCTTGGTTTTGATATGGAGTGATGTTTATGTATTCTAAGTTTCTTAACGGAAATTTGTTGACTAAGAGTTTTATTTAATTCCATGCTTTCAGTTATGACGAGCCAGAAGCCATAACAATAGCAGTTGATTAATTCCACAACTTTGTGTTTTCTAGCTTTTAAGACAGTGAAGATACTTTTTTGCTTTCCATGTAAGACAGGGAGGGCTTCTCTTCCTGAGGACATTCTATAGATCTGTATCTTTAAGCTCCACTCACCTTTATGTATTCTCTCATAATTTTGTGTCACTGTGTGTCTGTGGTAGTTTGAATGTAGCTGGCCCTCATAGTCTCAAAGGGAGTGGTACTATTAGGAGGAGCGACTCTGCTGGAGTGTGTCTGGCCTTGTTGGAGGAAGTGTGTCACTATGGAGGTAGGCTTTGTGGTTTCCTATTCTCAGGATACCGCTCAGTGTCTCAGTTGACTTCCTGTGGTCTGCATATCAAGACGTAACAAGCACCTTACCAGCCTGCATGCCATCATGCTCCCCACCATAATGATAATGGACTAAACCTCTGAAACTGTAAGTGAGCCCCCTTCCCCAATTGAATGTTTTCCTTTATAAAAGTTGTCATGGTCATGGTGTCTCTTTGCACAAGAGAAACCCTAACTTAGACAGGGTTCAAGGACACTCCTTTTTACTGTTTCCCTTGTTGATCCTTTTCTCCCAAGCCTCAGAAAAATTGATCAGCATAATTGATGATCATCCATGAATCTAAAATGAAGATTTATTTACAAATTATGTTTTATGAGCTGGAGACAGGAATGAATGGATGCTAACAGTTTAGAATAAAGGAATACTTTTCTGTATAGTATAATTTTTTTTAAAAAATACTCATGTAGCCTTGACAATCATAAGCTGCCTGAATATGCAAAGACCCCCTGGCCTTGCCAAATGGCCCTAGCTGCTCCAATGATTTTACAATAATGATTTTGAGCTAAGAAGTACTTTGGGAACTGTGCTTCTCCTACATACATAGAAAAATAGCATAATTTCTGGGCTCATCAAATAGTAGGCATGGTCAGGAATCCATCTATACTCAGAGAGTCTGTCTGTACAGGTGACTTGTTCCCTC